CTCTCTATTCCCCCATCGTCTTCTTTCTCCTCATCTCTCACCTCTTCCTCCCCGTTCCCTCTTTTGTATTTTGTACAAGTATAAAATATAAATAAATAACATGCATAGAAATGATCTAAAATCTACTGTATACCATTCGCCAAATACACATTCCCCCCTCTGGTCTGTCTCTTGTCTCTCTCTGGTCTCTGTCTGGTCCCTCTCTGCTCTCTCTCTGGTCTCTCTGGTCTGTTCCTGGTCTCTCTGGTCTCTCTCTGGTCTATCTCTGGTCTCTCTGGTCTATCTGGTCTCCCTGTTCTTCTCTGGTCTCTCTCTCTCTGGTCTCTCAGTCTCTCTCTGGTCTCTCTGGTCTCTCTGGCCTCTCTCTGGTCTCTCTGGTCTCTCTCTAGTCTCTCTCTGGTCTCTCTCTGGCCTCTCTATGGCCTCTCTCTGGTCTCTCTGGTCTCTCTCCCTGGTCTCTCTGGTCTCTCTCTGGTCTCTCTCTGGCCTCTCTCTGGTCTCTCTCTGGTCTCTCTCTGGTCTCTCTCTGGCCTCTCTCTGGTCTCTCTCTGGTCTCTCTGGTCTCTCTCCCTGGTCTCTCTGGTCTCTCTGGTCTCTCTCTGGTCTCTCTCTGGCCTCTCTCTGGTCTCTCTCTGGTCTCTCTGGTCTCTTTGCTCTCTCTCTGGTCTCTCAATCTGCTCTCCCTGGTCTCTCAGGTCTCTCTCTGGTCTCTCTTGTCTCTCTCTGGTCTCTCGCCCTGGTCTCTCAGGTCTCTCTGGTCTGTCTGTGGTCTCTGGTCTCTCTGCTCTCTCTCTGGTCTCTCTGGTCTTTCTGGTCTGTCTGTGGTCTCTGGTCTCTCTCTCTTCTGCTACAGTATCCATTGTCCTTGTCCTGGTGGAGAGCACAGCTGTGGCATGAGTCAGACCTCTCTCTCCTCTGAACAGTCTTTATTCTGAGCTAATGACAGACTCCACACGTGTCCACTGCCTCCGTCTGTAATCTGTAACCTGTAATCTGTAATCTGCATCATCACAGCGACATTAGTTGTGGCGTTGTCAAATGACCACTAATCTCCACTGTCAGAGAGTCACTGGTTAATTATCAAGACCAGCTTCCACTTCAGCTGCAGTGAGGGGTCTCGCACTTTTAGACCAGAGACCGTGGATCAGATGCTGGTCCCAGAGTCAGGACTAAACATGAGGAGGCAGCATGTCCGATTTATGCAGCTAAAATCTGGAACAGTCTTCTTGAAAACGTGAGACAGACTTCTCCAAATCCAGGTTGAAGACGGTTCTGTTGGATTTTTAATGCATTGTTGTTCTTGATGATGTAAATCCATTGTGTGATATTTGTATGGTTATTATGGTGTAAAAATATAGATAGAAGGAGAATATGGATGAAGAAGAAGACTGTGGATGGAGCATTTCAAAGCAAGTCAATAAGAGTTGGAGCAAAACTTCATCCATGAGCACTTCCCCATTGGGCTTCCCTGAGCTAGGGGGTTAGCATTGTCCATCTATATACAGTATTATTTAAACCATGCTATGTGCATTTAACAAAATAATGCCAACGTTTGTGCAACACATTACTTTGAAATAACAGTAACAAGTATTAAATGCTTTTGAGGTATCTTTCCCAAAAACTGAACTGAATCCAAACCATATTAAAACAATCCCAAAGACACAGTGGCTGAGTGGTTACCACCCAGGTCTTGGGTTCAAATCCTGGGCTCTCCGGTTTTCCCTACCACTAGAAACATGCACAATAGGTCTGAATGTAGTGAGTGAATGGATGGTGTTGGGTCAGAGGCTTTGATGGACCAGTGTTCAGTGTCTCGCTTCCGTCATCACCGTCTGGAGAGAATGGATGAATATCTGAACTCTGAATATTAACCTTGGCCAAGCGGCTACTCCACCTCTGCTGCTGTGACCCGTCCTGCTCCACCCAGAGGCTACTCCACCTCTGCTGCTGTGACCCGTCCTGCTCCACCCAGAGGCTACTCCACCTCTGCTGCTGTGACCCGTCCTGCTCCACCCAGGGCTACTCCACCTCTGCTGCTGTGACCTGTCCTGCTCCACCCAGAGGCTACTCCACCTCTGCTGCTGTGACCCGTCCTGCTCCACCCAGAGGCTACTCCACCTCTGCTGCTGTGACCCGTCCTGCTCCACCCAGAGGCTACTCCACCTCTGCTGCTGTGACCCGTCCTGCTCCACCCAGAGGCTACTCCACCTCTGCTGCTGTGACCCGTCCTGCTCCACCCAGAGGCTACTCCACCTCTGCTGCTGTGACCCGTCCTGCTCCACCCAGAGGCTACTCCACCTCTGCTGCTGTGACCCGTCCTGCTCCACCCAGAGGCTACTCCACCTCTGCTGCTGTGACCCGTCCTGCTCCACCCAGAGGCTACTCCACCTCTGCTGCTGTGACCCGTCCTGCTCCACCCAGAGGCTACTCCACCTCTGCTGCTGTGACCCGTCCTGCTCCACCCAGAGGCTACTCCACCTCTGCTGCTGTGACCCGTCCTGCTCCACCCAGAGGCTACTCCACCTCTGCTGCTGTGACCCGTCCTGCTCCACCCAGAGGCTACTCCACCTCTGCTGCTGTGACCCGTCCTGCTCCACCCAGAGGCTACTCCACCTCTGCTGCTGTGACCCGTCCTGCTCCACCCAGAGGCTACTCCACCTCTGCTGCTGTGACCCGTCCTGCTCCACCCAGAGGCTACTCCACCTCTGCTGCTGTGACCCGTCCTGCTCCACCCAGAGGCTACTCCACCTCTGCTGCTGTGACCCGTCCTGCTCCACCCAGAGGCTACTCCACCTCTGCTGCTGTGACCCGTCCTGCTCCACCCAGAGGCTACTCCACCTCTGCTGCTGTGACCCGTCCTGCTCCACCCAGAGGCTACTCCACCTCTGCTGCTGTGACCCGTCCTGCTCCACCCAGAGGCTACTCCACCTCTGCTGCTGTGACCCGTCCTGCTCCACCCAGAGGCTACTCCACCTCTGCTGCTGTGACCCGTCCTGCTCCACCCAGAGGCTACTCCACCTCTGCTGCTGTGACCCGTCCTGCTCCACCCAGAGGCTACTCCACCTCTGCTGCTGTGACCCGTCCTGCTCCACCCAGAGGCTACTCCACCTCTGCTGCTGTGACCCGTCCTGCTCCACCCAGAGGCTACTCCACCTCTGCTGCTGTGACCCGTCCTGCTCCACCCAGAGGCTACTCCACCTCTGCTGCTGTGACCCGTCCTGCTCCACCCAGAGGCTACTCCACCTCTGCTGCTGTGACCCGTCCTGCTCCACCCAGAGGCTACTCCACCTCTGCTGCTGTGACCCGTCCTGCTCCACCCAGAGGCTACTCCACCTCTGCTGCTGTGACCCGTCCTGCTCCACCCAGAGGCTACTCCACCTCTGCTGCTGTGACCCGTCCTGCTCCACCCAGAGGCTACTCCACCTCTGCTGCTGTGACCCGTCCTGCTCCACCCAGAGGCTACTCCACCTCTGCTGCTGTGACCCGTCCTGCTCCACCCAGAGGCTACTCCACCTCTGCTGCTGTGACCCGTCCTGCTCCACCCAGAGGCTACTCCACCTCTGCTGCTGTGACCCGTCCTGCTCCACCCAGAGGCTACTCCACCTGCTGCTGTGACCCGTCCTGCTCCACCCAGAGGCTACTCCACCTCTGCTGCTGTGACCCGACCTGCTCCACCCAGAGGCTACTCCACTGCTGCTGTGACCCGTCCTGCTCCACCCAGAGGCTACTCCACCTCTGCTGCTGTGACCCGTCCTGCTCCACCCAGAGGCTACTCCACCTCTGCTGCTGTGACCCGTCCTGCTCCACCCAGAGGCTACTCCACCTCTGCTGCTGTGACCCGTCCTGCTCCACCCAGAGGCTGCTCCACCTCTGCTGCTGTGACCTGTCCTGCTCCACCCATCTATCTATCTATCTATCTATCTACTGTCTCTATCGATCTACCATATTGAAAAATAGTCATACAAACTGCTGCAGACCTCTCACACAGCCTCTTCCCCATCTCTTCACCTTCCTCCGTTTTGCATGAACCTCAAACATGTGCTCCTCGCCACCTGCTTCCTCAAAGACTCCCTTCATTTATAAATCTGTCTGTGGAGAAACCCGCCTCTCCTCCTCTTCTTCCTCCTCTCCCTCCTCCTCCTCTTCCTCTCCCTCCTCTTCCTTCTCCTCCTCTGACACTGGTACATTCTCAAGCATTGCTTTTTGGATCCATAAGTCGTTATATGCCCAGTGAATACACACACACACAGACACACACACACACACACAATCTGAGAGTCGGCCATTGTTCTGGATCTGGCTTGGTAAGTTGTGTGGTTCTTTTGTGCGTTTCTGACACAGGGCAAACCGCATCCAAAACTGAGACAGCGAAGGCTTTGTGGGGCATGGAGCTGGGGCACTTGGCTGGTATGTCATTGACTGAGCGCCTTCTGATTCACAGCCCATAATACTGTGATGTGTGTGTGTGTGTGTGTGTGTGTGCTGCTGGAGAGGGGAGGACTCTTGGTTGTAGCTTTTTATCTCGGGGAAAAATGTGAAAAATGTAATTGTGCGTTGATGAGACAGATTTGTGTTCTGTTCAGTGAGAACGATGGATCGAGAGGCAACGACCGACAACGAAGAGGTTGTGTTCGTGTGACATCACAACATTCCAAAGAGTTGTGGCACTTTTTTGCTATGTTCCGTTGATCGCCGAAAAATCCTACAAAAAATTGTGTGTCCAGTTACAAGTCTCTCCACGGCCTCTATCTATCTGTCACATGTTAGAGAACCAACACTTACTCTGAGGAGCACAGGGACTGACCTCCTGCTGGGACTCTGAGGAGCACAGGGACTGACCTCCTGCTGGGACTCGGGGGAGCACAGGGACTGGCCTCCTGCTGGGACTCGGGGGAGCACAGGGACTGGCCTCCTGCTGGGACTCTGAGGAGCACAGGGACTGGCCTCCTGCTGGGACTCGGGGAGCACAGGGACTGGCCTCCTGCTGGGACTCGGAGGAG